TTTTTACGAGAACAAGGCCATTTTCTATTGGGATACACCCATTTTAGGTGCCTCGCGAATTTAGGGACCTCGCGCATTTAGGGCCCCTAGGTTTGGAAATTCGCCCTAGCACGGCCCCGGGAAAATATGCAATACTCGTGTTCATATAATCTTTAGTTGCGTTGAGCTGTTATATTATGATCCTGTTTATACCCACCAACTGCGCCAGGCAGGCCATTATCTCGTTTATAATTGATGCAAATAAATTGAAATATTGAAATGCCAATTGACAAAGATCAAAAGAGAGCACTGATGACTCCCCCCGTCGGAGAAATACTGGCGCAGCCCAAACAAGCTCAGTGAAATATGGGGCCCCAGGGCCAATTATACCCTTGGGGCCCCGGTGAACCACAATTACCCCCCCCCCCCCTCCGTCGACAAACTTTTTATCGCCTTGCAAATTTGTATTTGCCTGTCTTCCTTGAGCTGGGGTCGCGGAGAAAATTGCTCCCTTTGCCGCCTCCCTGCATGGGCGGCCCTTATCATAACTGGCGCGGCTCGATGAATTAATTGCCGCTTTCAAACAGAGGTTTATTATTTTAAACCTCTAGAACCAGAGCACCTTTTGTCACTCTGAGGCCAGCGAAATAACCTCTTCCGCAACATGCACGTACGCGTCTACTATCGTCAAGAAACAATCAATACGTATAATCGTTGTGGTCTGTGGGATTTTAATTCAATAGTGTAAACCTTGCAGTTTTAGGGAAGCCTCACATATCGATTTTTCCACAAGAAACGTCATATGTTCGTTTTGGGGGTGGGGGAGGGGGGTTTACAGCTGTGACGTTTCTCTGTAAATATCATGGAAAAGTTCGATAGTTTTTTCGGATACCTTAACATTTCGGAATCAACTTTGCAGAGTATAAAAAAGAAAACAACTTGAAAGAAAACGACTATTCAAATATAAGGGCTGGTAAACTAAAAATAAAAACTCTTTATATGGATAAACATTATAAACGTTCATTTCACATGTACACGCACGCTAACAGCTGCTTAATAATTAACTTGCGTATTTGTAAACATCAGTCGATAAATAAAATGGTACATTAATATGGACAAAATGGATCAAAACCTCTGAAAAATCAGTTGTAGTTCCAATTCTTTTGGGGAATTTAGTAGCAAATATAATCCTTAAATAGCTCATCGATTTGTATATGTTAGCGCAAAAGTCAAACGGCCGGGTCGTAGATCACGTTGAATGATCACGTTGAATGATCTGAAGTTATCATGCAACCGTCAACAATGTCTCAAAATACTGGATGTTTGATGATTTTTTTACAAATATACTGGGATTTCTGGACCACTTTTAAACTTAGCAAAGCGAAAAGTCCCCATTCAAGAATATGTTTTTTTCTCAAAAGGTAAAATACTTAGAATACTTGATTAAATTGTTTACTTCGACGGTGTATAAATTAACAGCGTTTGACTTGCAAGACGTCAAAAACGGAAGATTTCAACGCGCTGTCGTTTATCGCGTATTCATTTGCCAAAAGAGGTATTTACGTCAATTGAAGGCTTGTTTATTAAAAAGCGAACTAGTAGAAGCATGATCGATTTGGAGCTTTATCGCATGGTGAAAATCGATTTTGTTAAGAGGGTATCGTAAATGAAGTAAGATAGTGTGCTCCAAAACTACGATTATTTCTATTCCTAAAAGTAACTCAGATTTCCTGTAAGTCATGTACACAGTCCTTTGAATAACTGAAAACAAGATTTTTAGGGTTTTAGATCGATTGGAAACGGCTGTCGTCGTGAAATTTATCTGTAAAATCAGCGCATATTTTCCCAGAAAAAATGGCGATTTAGGGTGGTCGTGTTAAAACGGCATTTTTTCAAAGTTAAAAAAGCATTTGACCTAAAAAAATATATGGTGCATTTTCCGATATAATAAGGTATATCTGGGCAAAATTTGAGCAAAATCGATTTTTCAGTCGTGGCCGCTTTATGTTTGATTTTTGTGGACATCCTCTCTTAATTCGGCCAAACTTGTTTCTTTAACTGGACTTAATTCGGTCAAAATTGTTTCTTTTGTAAATGTTGTAATGAACAAATTGTTTTTCAGCAACTAAAATTTGTAGCCGTCCGTCAAAAACTACAGAAAAATATTTTCCCTCGGCCTTAGAAGCGTCCCTCGGCCTCGGGCCGCTTCTGAGATCAGGGACGTAACTAGACGCGGTAATTGGGGAGTGTTGTGGGGGGGGGGGCTGCATATTCATATATACCGTAAAAACAATCGCATGCAAAAGAAATCCGTCGAGCAGAACATGAATATATGAATATACCCCCCCCCCCCAATCATCGCTATAGTTGCGTACCTATCTGAGACCTCGGGAAAACATTTTCTCAGTTCGGACTTCGCAACCGGTAAATAACAATTTTATACGTTACCTTTTATAGTTTCATCAGCGGTATGAAAACATCATTAAACAAAATGGATCAAAGCAATATTTTCAACAGTTGAAATGAAATATGATTGGCGTACATGTTCTTGTAGCGAAATGTACAACTCTCCAAAAAATAACAGTAAATTGCGCATGCCGATCTTCCGATTATTTCGGAAGGCGAATTCTTGTAGCGAAATGACTATGAGGATTCAATTAATTGTCGAAGCACTGCATCTAGTTATATTTAAGCAACAGATTCAACTATGTCGCTGACATGAAGGTTATTTGTATACATTACCAGAAATTTGGGACAAGATGGCTGCGCGCGGGCGCATAATAACTTATAATAGCAACTATAAACAATCACCCGTTCCGCACGCGCGTTGTAACCAATAATCTATTGGCGATGTAATGCCATTGTATGCAATAAAGTATTGGGTTGTAACTGAAGATAAAACCACAAGCATTAGACAAAAGTTTTAGTTATAAATGTAATTGACCTAGGCTGGCGGACGCTGAGCGGGCGGTAGGTAACTTCCCCCGGAGGGGTAGCGTTCCACCGGCATTGGGGTTAGGGAACAGAATAGATAACAGGACCAGAAGTCTCCCTCAAGCGGAAACATGTCCCATCTTTTATACTGCGCATTCGCGAGCTAAACAAGTGTAATGCAGTGTTGACAATAGAAAATTATATTGGGAAGTTGTCATTTGTACAGTAAAAACAGCTTTTTTTCAAGTAGTACGAAATGTGACTTCGATTTATCTGTGGAACTATTTGAACAGAAGGTAAAGCAGTAATTTTGTTGTATTTAGAAAGCAAACAGGGTCATATTTTTTAAAAAAATAGCGCACTGAATATAAATTTGAGCATCATTAGAATGTGTTCGCTATGATGCCATTTTGTCTCCGGTATATACGGAGTTCTGCTTTTATACTTGTGGATATTCGAATTTATTTGGCTCAAAAACACCATTACTTCAATATCCCTTTCTTGTTTTTCCTTGGATAGGTTTTAGCAAGATAGAACTCTAGATCATTTGGGTCCGAAGACGCTAGATTTTATAATCCTGGTGTGACTTGATACTACAAATAGAATATGTTTTATGATTTAATACAGCTACAAATAGAATGACTTTGATGAACAAACTTCAATGAATTGATAATGTGTAAGGATAGTGTTTAAAGTCGCTTCATGTGTAGAAGCCAGTGAACTGTAAATAACCTGGAACGATTACTCCGCCGCCATCTTTGAAGCCACTCATGAGTGATGATTTTGCCGGTTGCCCCAGTCCTTTTTTACAAAATGGCGTCGAAAAATATTTTTTGAAAATCGATAAATTTTGCCATTTTCTTTTTGTTGAGCACTTGCCAACTTCTCCAAATATGAAACTAGGGCAAAATAACTTTAAATAAATGTGTTTAAAATAAAAAATGGTTAACAAACAACCGAAATATCACACGTATAAGACGAACAACACGAAAATACCGCGCGAAAATTTTTAGTTTTTCTGTGTTAGTAGACTTTCCAGAAAGAGTTCAGGAACATTTTGGCAACAGTTATTTGAGAAAAGCTTAGATGCTGTTGAAAATTCATTTCCGAGCATACAGAAACTTATTTTTTTAAAGTTAAAATCCGATTAAACATGTAAAAAATCTTCGGGGAAAAATGAGTGTTTTTCATATCGCCCCAGTCCACATCTGGCTGGCAGAGCGCAAGTAATTTGTTATTTTTTAACATTTTTGTAAACAAAGTTTGAAAACTGCAAAATTAATTTGTTATTGACTGTAATAATAAATGCCATTTACGTGTGTAGTCTGTGGCTACACAAGTGAATGCTCAAAGGAGAATGAAAACAAAACATATACTGCATTTCACAGGTAAGAAATTACAAAACAATTGAAACTTTTAAATATTTATTAATATTTAATTTATTTACATGACAATAGTAAACACTATTATGACAATGGGTACAAATTCATAATGACAAAATGAAAAAGCTAATTTTCATTAATACAGGTTTCCCTTAAAAGATGAAAGACATCTTGAGAAGTGGGAAAATATAGTTAAGAGAGCAAGAAATGATGGACAACAATGGAGGGCAACACGCCACAGCTACATTTGCAGTAATCATTTTGAAGCATGTGACTACACTATACTCCCATCCTCAACAGGGCCATGCAGGCTAAAAAAATATGCTGTACCATCATTATTCAAATTGGAATTCAAACCGCAAAGCATACCAAAAGAGGCTAGAAGCCGACTGGAAATGCCTGAAGGAAGTTCCACCCATCAAGGTCATAAACGTCCAATTTCATGTGAACATCTATTGTCAACAATATATCATGATCACTGCTATGGAAAACGGCAAAAACTAATACAGCAGACACCACTTCAGGAAATCCATGGTAATTCATGCCAAGATGAAGAAATTTCTAAAAAACAATTAAAACATAAAATTAAAAACTTACAGCAGCAATTGCGAAGGTGTAAGAAGAAGATAGGGAACATGGCAGAACTTATTGACAAACTGCAAGAAGAGCTCATCATAAAATCAGATGTGGCAGATAAGTTACATGCATCATTCGACAAAATTCAATTGTCCATTTTCCAAAATGTCCAAAAAAATTCACAGAGTTTGCCATGTGGCCGCCGCTATACTGATGATATCAAAGAATTCGCATTAACCTTATACTTTTATTCTCCAAAAGCATATCAATATGTACGTTCAATTTTGCCCTTACCCAATCCTTCTTTGATTCGGAAGTGGGCAAGCTCAGTAGATTGTGAACCTGGGTTCCTGAAAGAGGCATTCAAGGCACTGTCAGATGAAGTCAAACAATGTCTAGACAAAAAAGACTGTTACCTCATTATGGATGCCATGTCAATTCGAAAGGAGACGGTGTGGGACAAGAAGAATGATAGATATGATGGATTCATAAACTATGGCACAGTAAACCCTGAAGATCCAGAGACATTAGCATCTGAAGCACTAGTCTTTCTTTTGGTTGGAGCCAGAACACACTGGAAATGTCCCATTGGTTACTTTCTCGGCAATAAAATTTATGCGAGGATCCAGGCACAGCTTTTGATAACAGCACTTGAAATGGCCGCAGAATCTGGACTACGGGTATGGTCTATCACTGCAGATGGAACATCAGTAAATCTCAGCAACAACGTACAAGGACATGGTTACAAAGTTCAAGCATCCAACAGAAGATTACCATGTATACGTCATATTGGATTCATGCCACATGTTGAAACTGGCCAGAAATGCACTAGGAACACTTCATTCATTCACCGACAATGATGGTAAGAAGGTCAGATGGAGATTCTTTAAAAATGTGTGCTTAATCCAGGAGGAACATGGGTTGAAAATGGCCAACAAGTTGTCCCCAAAACACCTGCAATTTGAGAAACATAAAATGAAGGTTAACCTGGCGGCACAAACACTAAGTTCATCGGTAGCAGATGCAATTGAATTCCTGGAAAACGTAATGGAGCTACCTGACTTTACAGACAGCCAAGGAACAGTAATATTTTGCAGAACAATTGACAGACTATTCGATATGCTAAATTCTCGCAACCCATTAGGAAAAGGGTACAAACAACCCCTCAGATTGAACACACAGGATATTTGGGAATCAACATTAAGATCTACGGCTGATTACCTACTATCTTTGAAAACAGATACAGTTCCTGCTCAACTTCTTTCAACACATCCTCGAAAGACATTTATAATTGGTTTTGTAGCAGACATAAAGTCAACAATTGAAATGGCCCATGAAATGCTATCAAGCACCAACAACCCATTTAAATATGTGCTAACATACAAGTACTCACAAGATCATGTTGAACTGTTCTTTTCATGTATACGAGCACAAGGTGGCTGGAACAACAACCCCAACACTTTACAGCTGAAATATTCCCTGCGGAAAATGCTACTGAGAAATGCCGTAACTGCATCAAAAAATGCAAACTGCACAGAATTTACAGACCTAACCACAATCACCTCGACTGTGATACCTTTTTTTCATAAGAGGAAGCACAAAACCCCCTTACTGGACAAGGATGCTGAGGAGGAAGAGGAGGAAGATGAAGAACAACCCATGGTAGAGCTATTGGATCAAAAAGGTCACAGTGACTTCACCGCCAACATATTGTTCTACATCGCAGGATATATTGTATCAAAACTGGTAAAGCTGCTTACATGTCCTGACTGCATCACTAGCCTAACTTCCCAACCATCTACCAACCCTGATCAGGATTGCTGTGGTGTTCGGTACAACAGTGCTGCAGCTGCATCTGCCTTTACACTGTTTGTGAACAATGGTGGTCTGAAAATACCGTCAAAATCTGTGTTCCAGATCATTGAGTATGCTGAGCTTGTGTTTAAACGAAACGTATGCAAAGAAGGAAAAAGCATTAGTAACAAAAAAAATCTGAAGAAGACAATGATTATGAGCGTTTGTCACCACTTTGTTGATATACACCAAGTCCTGTTTGCAGAACATGAAGACATCAACGAAAGAGTGTTCGAAGATGAACATCGGATAAAGCTTGTCAAACACTGTGCTGACCAATATCTTACACTGCGTCTTTTTACTTATGCGAAACGTTTTAATGCAAATGTGGTACAAAAGGGACAGCCAAGTGACAGGCATCATTTAACAAAATTAATCCTATTCAAGGGACAATAAATTGAATTTAAATTATCCAGTTAAAGTCTAATAATAAGGTCCCATAAAATAAATTCCTTGATTCTCATCACTACACTTTGAAAATGTCGAAGAGGCGGGAGGTTTATATTTTATATTTATATAATTTATATATCAATGAATAAAAAAATAATTCCTAACATTTAATATTTTTGTGATTTCCAAAGTGAAGTGTCACAAACCGAAATAAACATATTTCTCCACAAACATTGACTGAACCCTTGAACTGAATGCGAACACGGCTCTGAAAATACAGTCGGGCGGTGATGAGAATCAAGGAATTTATTTTATGTGGCCTAATGTATATATATATTCCAAATATTACAAGACAAATACAAAGTTCATAATTTACAGTTCACTGGTAGAAGCTGAATTACTTTAGTTTATGCACTGTATTGTCGAGATCACATGTTCATATGACTTACTAGCAACTTGCAATAAGTGGTCAGTTCTGCTTGTTTATAATACTTTAGAGTTTGGACATTAGGACATTGTAATTGCGTGACAGAGACTATTAATAGGGCTTGTTTGTATGGAAGCCGGGCTGGCCCGCTTAGCGAGAAAGCCCGGTAAGGTAGGTAAGCAGGATGATTTCTCTTGTGTTTATTTGAGAAAATTTCATCCCGCTTACCGGGACAATTTTGTTGTTTTGACATTGTTTTGACAGTTGTTAAAATAGCTTGCGGAAATATCTTTTTGACTTTCATCCCGCCAAGTTGTGTGGGTGTGTTTTTGCTCTAGCTAGTTTTACATTTACATGGTTCATGTACAATTAATGTACATTTAAATTAGCTTTGTTCAATGAATACAGGTGTGGTTCAAATGTCATTCCTGTCAGGTACTTGGGTCAAATAGACATAAGCATACCAAATCATGCTATGAATTGAAATACAAGTTTTGGGTGTGTATTGTTTAATAAATATATTTTCCAGTTAACCCAGTAAGCTGCATTGTGCCCCAATGCACCCCACTTTACTAGTTTATTTCACTTCATCTAATGCCAGATGATTTTACTTATCGAGGGAGAGTGCTGCTGCTCATTGAGCTCTGATTGAGTTCACTGAGTGGCAGCACTTTCCCCTTGACAAGTGAAATTGTCTGGCGTTAGACAGAGTAAAATAATCTTGCGTTTAATCAAGCAGCTACTTTTTCAAAAGCTCAACCAGGCTAAAGATTCTTTGATTTGAAAACCAAAGTGATAGTGAACTAGTTAGTTGAAACAAACCGAATTGTTTGATTTATTTACTTTCCACAACACTGACAATTAAAATTTAATTTGATACTTTTCCAGTATGCATTCTTTATTGACATTATATAGGTTCAGATTTGACTACCATTAAGGGACCATCAACCAATCAAATGCATTTGATATATTCGATCAACCATTATAACCAATCAGATGCATACTAAGGCAGTCAGAGATAGTGGTAGTAGAACTCAAATCTGAACCTATATAATAAAAGTGTGAGTTTATTCATAAACTAATTATAAATCAGCTTCATGCAATCATCTAGTTATGCACCAGTCAATGTAAATCCTTGCCCCCAACCGGGGAGGGGCGGGAGGTTTAGCGGGGAAAGTGGTCAGTTTTGATTATAAATTTGTCCCCGATGATGGGAGACTTGGACGGTGGTTAACATATATATCCTGTGTTGCTGTTTTAGTTTTCTTGACAAGAAAAGTTTAAATACAACAACTTAAATGAATTTGATTTTCTATTGCTGATCTATGATTATACAGAACTATTTTCCCGGGGTTGAGAGACATGCAGGGGACAATGATGTCCCCGGGGGCGGGGACAATTTCGCTCTTTTACCACCCCTCCAAGTCAAAATCCTTGCCCCTCCCCGGTTGGGGGGTTTACATTGATTGGTACATTAATGAAAGAAGTGTCAGTGCCACATGCATATGTAGTAAAAGCCAACTTGTCAGTAAAGGCCACAGAGCAAGATTGTATTTCAAAGACTGCCAGTGACAAAAACAATTGATAGCCCTGAAATAGAGTATGCCAACAGTTAGTATACTGCAAATAACTATTCTATCAACAAGATAATGTGCGTTTTTACAAGTGTTTTTTATATATCAATCTAATGGCATGTAACCTAAAATTCAGCAGTGTATGTGTTATGTAATACACCCTTACTTCTTAATGGTCAAATTAACTATACTACATTGTGTATAACAATATATGGACTGGTTCAAAAATATATTGAATTTATAAGTGTTGAACTGGTGAACGTACTATTGATGTAGAGATTATGCCAAGTATACAATGGCACAAGGATTTTCATGTTATCAGCACGATTAAATCGTAAGATTGTGCAACTAATCTGTGTAAATCTCTTAGAGATACCCTCAGTAGCTACATTTTAAGGTAAAATGAATCTGTCAGCCTCGTTGTCAACAGTAAATTTAACTAAGTTTATAATCCATTTATTGCCGTATTTTAGCTGAGAATTCATTTAAGACAATGCAATACGATAGACTTACCTTTGAATTTATTATATATTCTTTTAAAATGGTCACCAAAGCTCTAAAACTCGATTGGTATCGTTTTAACTTTCTCACTCCTTAATGTTTACATGTAAATTTGTCAAAGACGCGGCCAAGATGCGCGAGGCGACATGCGCGGGGACATCAACATCAAAGATTCCGACATCGAGTGAGACTTCTGGTCTTATTATTTATTCTGTGGTTAGGGTTTGGATTAGGATTAGGGTTTGGATTAGGATTAGGGTTTGGATTAGGATTAGGGTTTGGATTAACTTTCACCGGAGGGGTAGCGGTCAATCGGCATTAGGGTTAGGGGGTAGGGTTAGGGGGTAGAGGTTAGAGGTTAGGGGTAAGAGGTTAGGGGTTAGAGGTTAGGGGTTAGGTTAGGGTTTGGATTAGGGTTGGGATTAGGATTAACGTTTGGATTAATCGTAGACCCATTACAACCCAATACTTTATTGCATACAATGGCATTACAACGCTAATAGATTATTGGTTACAACGTGCGGAACGGCTGAAACAATATAGAGAAATTTAAAAATCAAAATTAAAAAAAAACAGTGGCAAAGCAAACCAAAGCAACTGGTCATGCTATATGCAAATTTTAAATTATTGAATTGTTCACACCTGGTACAGGTTTATTATATTAGCATAGCATGACCAGTTACCATGATGGTCAAAAGCCCTTTTGTGAAATTCAATAAGGCGGATTCTAAACGACGGTGGGAAATGTCGTAAATTTCTGGTACGATGTTTATGAGTTTGTAATTTTAAATCAGTTATTTCAATTTTAGATACGAGGGCCTGTGAAATAATTGACTATAAAGGAAACTGGAAGAATAATCCCTGTCAAGACCGGTTTCCCTTTATATGTATGAAGCGTAGTAAGTATAAATTATCTAAAATATTAATTTTAACAATTCATTTAGCCTTTTAAGCTATGCCTTTCAAACATCATGGATACGATGTTTTAATCCGCTGACCAATCACATTAAGTTTTATTTTGAGAACGAGGCATACAGTTAGTTTAGCATTAATAGATCAAATTGTCATGCTATATAGATGGCTCTATATTTTAGTGGATACGCGGATACGCAGTCGAGGAGTTATTTTGAGAACGAGGGCGTAACGACACAGAGGAGACATATACAAAGAGCAAACTGACACTCGATAACCTCAATTTTTGTGCCAGCCAGTGCCGTCGCTGAAATTTCATAGCAAAACATAGAGAAAACGCCAACCTCGTTCCCAGGGCTTTCGTATGAGGACGAGGCGAGGCACGAGAAAGCCCTGGTCTGGGCCGGTCAGGTGGCTACCCAAAAACTGACAGTATTTGACAGCTACTCGTCAAGGAGTGGCGAGATATTCTTTAATGAAATATACAAGTCTTCGAAACAAATAAACAGCCAAAAGACTTCTCAATCGATATTATTTATGTGTAGAGCGAAATTTGGCATACCCTGGCCCAGAGGTTTTTTTAGGTTTGGCGAACGTGAAATGCGAGAAAACGCGCGAAGAAAAAGGAAAAACCTCTGGTGAATTTGTTGGCGATTCCTAGTTCGGATAAAGAATGCAAAAAATGTATAATGGCTTAATGCATCATATTCTAAAAATATTATCCAATCATTATCCTTGACGCCAGGCCGTCTAGACAGGGTTTTATTTAAAAATATCGCATGCATACTGTCCAGTGTATGCCTGCGCATTTGTAGCAATATTCATTCTGCTTAATTTCATTCAATTTAAAACATCACATCTATTCAAATTAATATAAATATATATTTATATTCATTCACTTTAATCTTGCAATATACATTCAATTTAATCCTGCAATATACATTCAAAAAAATCTGTATTTAAATTTATTTAACACACCTCTTTGGGCCGACGTGAACTTTGTTTGTTAATACAAAAGCAAGCAAATTTGTCTTGTAGATTTCAAATGAAACCATTTCTCTCCATTTCGCATTTCGAATAATAGACTCGGGATTACAAAATACGAATGTTAACTCTCCATCTAGTATTGCTTTCTCGTCCTCTTCGTTTGACAGTGAAGTAACACGAAATCCACGCTTTCTTAGTTCACGGACGTGAGAGTCAATGAAAGAGTTCAATTTGCAAATGATTATTAAGATGGGTTTCTGAGGGTACCTAAATATCGAGTCAGGATTCGAGCCAGGACTCGAGCCAGGACTCGAGCCAGGACTCGAGCCAGGACTCGAGCTAGGACTCGAGCCAGG